GCCCAGGCAGCCCAGCCGCCTGTTCTGGCCCCTCGGGGCCCTTGTACACATGGAAGCCATGTGGCCTGCCACCATGTGACCTGGGGGATCTGGGTCAACAAGTCTTGCTTTGATCAGGCTGAGCGGGCTTTTGTGGAGTGGTCTCAGACCTTGCTGCTGGCAGTAGAGGGGAGCCACAGGCAGGGGACTCCTGACACAGGCCAGCAGGCTGTCTCTCCTGACCTGGTCTTGGCCTGCCAGCCTTGCCCACCAACTAATGGTCAGCCTCCTCTGGGCAGCCTGCAGGCACTGGTTCGGGAGGTGTGGCTGGAGAAGCCCCGGTATGATGCAGCTGAAAGGGGCTTCTATGAGGCCCTATTTGATGGCCACCCCCCAGGGAAAGTACGACTGCAAGAACGAGCCAGTCAGGCAGAGGGTGCCCGGAGGGGCCGTAGAGACCGTCGGAGTCGCAATGCTGTAGGAAACAAGCGAGCTGGGTCAAAACGGGCCGATGGGGAGGCACCCTCTGCTCTGCCCTACTGGTACTTCCTACACAAGGATGCAGAGGCCCCCTGGCTCAGCAAGCCTACCTACGACAGCGCTGAGTGCCGCCACCATGCTGCTGAGGCCCTCCGCATAGCCTGGCGCCTAGAAGCTGCCTCACTGGCTCACCGACCCATGCCCCGTTCTGGCCCATCCATGTCCAGCCTAAGACCCAAGTAGGAGAAATATGGCTGCAAGTGTCGGGACTGACCTGGGCTACAAGCATGATAGGGATAGGAACAGCTGTCTCTAGGCTGTGGACCTGACCAGCTTGAATGTAGGGGTGGGGTGGACAGACCCATAGTGCTCTGTTCTTTAGTTTTAGATTCCTGAGTTGCTGGTGTTGGTAGGGGGAAGGTTGTTGGCAGGGTGAGTGGAAAGCCTGTACCTGTGGGTGTTGGGCGCCCACAGCCCAGGATATAGTATGTGCTCATTGAGGTAAGGTGGGTGTTAAATACAAGAGCATAAATACAAGATCCAGCAGCCTCTAAAGGGTGCTTGTCTTCGACCTCCCTGTGAGGAAAGAAACCTGCCTTTAGCCCAGGCTCCCAAAGGATCTTGCTCCAACACAGTGGAGTCCTGACAGTGATCTCGGAAAGCCAGGGAAGGACTTGTGTGTGGGGGTAATATGTGACCATGGGAGGCAGCCCCTAGGCATATTCTAGGTATGATAGACATGGAAGGGACAGAATTAACATCAGTCTTGGCGCCCAGGGCTCTATTCTTATTTAGAAGACACTTGGGTTCTGGTGATGGTCTGGGGCCTTCCACACAGAAAATTGGCAGAGTGAGATTGGTTGGTCTTTCACACTTCCCAAAAAGGGCAGGATGGTGATTGGTAGGTTCTGTGGTCTCTGTATAGCCCCTAGCTCCCATACTGTGGCAGGTGTAGGAACTATGTGCTGGAACATGACTTGCAGAAGCGTGGCAAGCTGGACCCTGGTCTAGTATAGCAGTTCTCAGAATCCAGTCTTAGTAGCCACAGAGCTTTCATTGCACCCTTGACTTTTTTTTTTTTTTTTAAATCATCGTAGTCAAAACAAATAAGTACTAAAAGTACTTACATATTGAAAGAGAACGACAAACTTGTTGCATGCTAGGATGACACATTTTTGTGAGAAATAACTTTAGGGGACAAAGTGGATTTGTCTCATTGTTAAGGCATGTTTGGCTGAAGGGTGGGTAGGGGCCTGACTGCTGGTGATACAATTGCTTTTGTGCTCTAGCTGCTGGTGTGGGTTATGGTTGGGTTGTATGGTTAGAAAAGTTGGGGCCTGGGTGCCTAGTGGTCTGGAAGACTGGCTAGGGATACCCCTCTCATCCAGGCCCTGGTAGGTGAACCCATTAGGGGATGGGAGGACTGTTTACTCTGACTTTTGTATGTGGAAGGGACTTGGTGTTGAACACCATGGTCTTAGGCAGCAGAGGCACAGTTCATGGGCCAAGCAGGACTGAACTGGCTCAGCATGTCATAGCCTTCGAGGAATCCTGTTCCTTACCTATGGCCTGGTCTGGGGTACTCAGGCAGGGTAGGCTTAGAACCTGTGGGGAAGGTGAAGGCAGAGGTTTTCTAGCACAAGTTTTTCTAGCCACATTGACCTAGCCACTTTTACCTATCTCAGCAGAAAAATGGCTACAAACTTTCTAGTGCATGAGAAGATCTGGTTTGACAAGTTCAAATATGATGACGCAGAAAGGAAATTCTACGAGCAGATGAATGGGCCTGTGACTGCTGGCTCCCGCCAGGTGAGGACCATGCTCAAGGCTGGTGGAGCCAACTAGGTAGGCCCTGCCCTTGGCTCCTGATCCTAATACTCTTGCTGCTTCCCAGGATGCTGGGGCCAGCAAGCTGACAGGTATCTAGGGGTGGTGTGTGGCCAGGGCTCAGCATGTATGGCTACCTGCAACTTTGTGGTCCTGGCCTAAGTCACCTGCTTCTTGCTGTCCTGGGAGCTTTCATTCTGTGTAATGCATTCGTCTCTCTGGAATGCATTCTTGCTTTTTGAGTGAGGGTTCTTAGGGATTTTGTGTGTGTGAGAGAGAGAGAAAGAGAGAAAGATGTTTAAAAAATTTTTAAGCCCAAACAAAAAAGACTGGTTCTTTCTGCACTGTCTGCAGGAGAATGGTGCCAGCGTGATCCTCCGTGACATTGCAAGAGCCAGAGAGAACATCCAGAAATCCCTGGCCGGAGTGAGTACCCACGGCCCATGTATCCATGGGCTCGTGCTTGGCCAAACAGCATGTCTGATTTTTATTTTATTTTATTTTTATTTCTTTTAAACCTTTCAGTACTGCTGACTATTTTGGCCTTTGGAGCAAGTTAGGGCACAGGATGTGGTACTGTGCTCTTGTATAGCATGAGTGCGGAGGCCTCCATGTCTCTCTCTCATGCGTACTGGAGGTCACTCTATCTATTCTTGCAGTGCCTGCCATGGGATGCCTCGGCTAAGCGGTGCGTTTTGCATGGTGTATGCTGTAAGCACATGCCTTGGAAACCTGTTCCTTCCTGCTTGCTCCCTTGCTGAAGAAGCACAAATCCCATATTCCCTAGACTACTCTATCCTCCTGATTAGGTGGGACTCTTCATGGAAAGGAGATAATTACTTAGTAAGGTATTCTAGTCAGTATCATTTTGGACTAAGGGCCCAGGGAAGGATGCTGCAAAAGCTTTCCAGGTCTCAGGCCAAGGCTGGATATGCCCCATCTAGTTCTAGCATTCTGGACTAGCTAAGGAGGGTATGACCTTAAGATGGCAGGCAAACTTGCTCTATGTTCCTTATTCCAGAGAAGTCAAGGACCTCAATTTGTCTCTCTGGACTGGGCTTATGCCCTGGAACAGGTTTTAATGGGTTACCACAACCTTACTGCTTAAAACAATGTGAATTTATCAGATGTTCTGGAGGTCAAAGGTTGAAATAGGGCCAAAGGCAAATAGAGTTGGGTTTCTCCTGAGGCTCTGAGCATCCATTTCCTACGTGTCTCCTTTTCTTGGGGCAATGCATGTCCTTTGGCATCCTGTCAGCCTCCTGCATCCCATCATCACAAGGATTCCTGTGAATGCACAAAACCTGCCCAGATAGTTCAGGCTCTTATAAAGCAGCAGATTTATAGCCAACAGGCATTCCCATTCAAACGGGAATGTAGAAAGGACCACTGGTCCCAAACAATTTGCCAGGCTTCCTGAATCTTCATGGCTCATGTGGCCCCTGGGAGACAGTTTTCACCAAACAGTACCTATTTTGTTTGGTTGGTTTTTTATGTTGCATTGGTGTGAAGATGTCCGATCTCCTGGAACTGGAGTTACAGACAGTTGTGAGCTACCATATGGGTGCTGGGAATTGAACCCAGGTCCTCTGAAAGAATAGTGCTCTCAACTGCTGAGTCACCTCTCCAGTCCCAAACAACTTCTTTTTAAGATTTGTTTATTATGTATACAGTGTTCTGGCTATGTGCCACCATGTGGTTGCTGGGAATTGAACTCAGGACCTCTGGAAGAGCAGCCAGGGCTCTTAACCACTGAGCCCCCTAAACAGCATTCTCTTTTTTTGTTTTTTCAAGACAGGGTTTCTCTGTACTGAATAGCATTTAAAAAGTGTTTTTGTTTTTAATATGTCATCCTGATTCCCCTTTTGGTCTAAATTAGTGGTGTTTTTGCTAGTAAATTTTCAAGAACTTTGCAGATATATTTTGTCACAGAAATCTGCCCTGTAGCAGGTGTTCCTCTGGGTATTTTTGATCCTATCACATTTTTTAGCATCTGTCTATAGCTGTGGGAATTCACAAGTCAAATACATGATCTCAAGTCCTTGTACCTTCTACTGCTCCCAAGGTAGCCACTGGTGCCCTTGACATTTTGCTCTCCTGACAGTGAATGTCCGTTTTCTTTACACTCTAGAGAGTGTAAAGAAAATTTCCCCAGCCATCTGGCCCTAGCTTTTTTATCTGCTCTACAGTTTTTCCCTCAGTTTCTTTTCTCCCACAAGTAGCAAAAAGGAAGCAGGCTTTGCCTGCCACACTTGGCTTAGAAATCCCAGCTGCAATGGAATTTGCTACCTAGCTGTGCAATCCCAGCACTTGGGAAAGCTGAGCAAGAGGATTGCCACAAGTTTGAGATCTGCCCCATAGAACACGATCTTTGGGAAACAAACAAAAACCTCTCAGCCAAAGATCAAGTTTTTTCTCACTTAGAAGTCCTAGAAACAGTGAGATTAAAGTCCCTACTGTGCCTCTTGCCTTTTGAGGCCTGTGCCCACTGCCATCTCCACATTTTTAGGGAATTGTTCCAGCAGCACCCCCAAGATCTGTGTGATTCCTAGTTGCTCTGTCGGATTACCACAGCTAGTAACTTAAAGTGACACAGATCTTCCACCTTACAGTTCTGAAGGTCAGATCTTTAGAGGCATCTTGTGGAACAGGACTGAGGTGTCCATGAGGTTCTCCAGAAGTCTGAAGAAAATCCACTCCATCTTTTCGACCTATCTGATCATCCCTGCCTCTATTTCTCTTGTCCCTGCTGCCACCCTTTAATACAGCTCCTTATATCTGTATTTTCTGGTGGTCTTAGGTGACCTCTGTGAAAGGGTCGCAAACCATAGGTTGAAAATCACTGTTCTAAGTCCTTAGTTCCACCTATTAAATCTGCTTTGCTGTGTGAAACTAACATTACAAGCTCTGGAGGTTCAATACAGCCATTTCTAGGGCACTATTCTACCAGATTGTCAAGAGTGTACAGCCTTTTCAAAAGGCTGCATACACCTGACCCCCTCATGGTCCCGCCTGACTTCTGTCACCCTCAAATCTAAACTCATGATCCCATGTACGCCCAGTGACGCTCAGGCCAGAGAGATGTGGGGCAAGGGGAACAGATTTGTGTACTTGGCTAGGCACATCATTGATCTTCAGCTCCCAGAAAGCTGGGTCGTTCTCAGCAGGCATTTATCATCTTGGCTCTGCTGGGCTGTCCCTTGTCAGGTCCTTTCCCTTGTACCAGGCCTGCAGTGTAGAGTGGAAAAGCCCTTAGGTGTTTTGGAAACAGCCTTGGCATTCCTGTCTGGCCTTGCTTGCAGGTAGACTGAAGGTACCTCCCTTCAAAAAAAAAAAAAAGTTACATTTGTTGTCAGCTCAAATGCTGCTGTACCCTGTGTTTGGCAAAGGCCTGTATCTATCTGTTAGCTCTTGTATGGAGCAGATTCTGCTTAGGATACTAAGAGTACTCACCACCCTCCTTCAGAGGACATCCTAGCAGGGGCTGCTGAGATCAGTTTGGGTTAGGACTTGCATGCAACTATTTTTTCAGAGCCAGTAACTCTCCTACATATGAGTGGAGCTAACATCTGAGAGCATGAAGCTAGACGCCTGGGTTTCCTGCAAGGGGAGCAAGATCACAGGTGCCGGCACCACCTGCATACTCCTTTCTTCTAGCCCTTCAATTGCTTTCCCCTCCTGTTTCTAGCTCAAGGTGATGCTGCCCAACTCCCCTGAGGCCCTGGGCCAGGCTACCCCTGGGACTGTAAGTCCTACTGCTTTCTCTGTTTGGCTCCCTTGTCCTATCCTCTGCTTGACTGAGAATGTCACAGTGGGCTATACAGCCATTTCCCTGAAGACAACAAGTCTTAACTGCTCGCCCTAAGCAGGATGTCTGTCTTGTGGTCCCTCACCTACCTATGCCTTCCTGTGTTGCTTCTCCAGCAGATCCTTGACCAAGTACTATAGGGGACCCATTAAGACTGAGCCTTTGCCAAAACCTTCAGTTCAGTTTGGGTTGTGCTTCTTAGTAGCTATAAGGGGATCCTAGAAATAGACTGAAGTACTAAGTAAGACCAGTGTTACCCTCCCTTACAGAGCTCAGGCCCTGGGGCCTCCAGTGGACCTGGTGGAGATCATAGTGAGCTCATTGTAAGGATTGCCAGTCTGGAAGTGGAGAACCAGAATCTTCGAGGCGGTGAGTGCTTGGGCTTGTCAGGTGGGACTCCAGCTTTAGTCTCTGCTGTCTGACTGGTGTCCCCCATGTGCCCACAGTGGTACATGATCTGCAGCAGTCCATTTCCAAGTTGGAGGTCAGGCTGAACACTCTGGAGAAGAGTTCACCTACTCACAGAGCCACAGCCCCTCAGACGCAAGTGAGTACCCTTTCCAACTTGGGAAGGCGCCTCGGACTGTGGTGCTGGCTTGGTCTTCCTGAGGGCTGCCTTTCCTCCAGTTAGCTGAAATGTACGGGGGCTAGATGAGTCTCAGCCTTCCTTCCCTTTCTCTGTGGCAGCATGTGTCTCCTATGCGTCAAGTGGAGCCCCCAACCAAGAAGGCGGCCACACCGGCAGAGGATGATGAGGACGATGACATTGACCTGTTCGGCAGTGATGAGGAGGAAGAAGATAAGGAGGCAGCCCGACTACGAGAGGAGAGGCTTCGTCAGTATGCAGAGAAGAAAGCCAAGAAACCCTCACTGGTGGCCAAATCCTCCATCCTCTTGGATGTCAAACCTGTGAGTGGTGGCAGGATGGGCCTCTGGGAGGCCAGGAACAGAACCTTAATTGTTAGAGATGGAGGGTGGGGTGTTGTGTGGCCTGCCCACAAGGCTCAGATTCTGAACCCCATTCACCCTTCTGGGTCTTGGAAGTTTTTGTTTTTTAAAGATTTATTATTATATATACAGCATTCTGTCTGCATGTATGCCTGCAGGCCAGAAGAGGGCACCAGGTCTCATTACAGGTGGTTGTGAGCCACCATGTGGTTGCTGGGAATTGAACTCGGGACCTCTGGAAGAGTAGCCAGTGCTCCCAACCACTGAGCCATCTCTCCAGCCCCAAGAAGTTTAATGACCTTAACAGAAATGTGGAGTAGGACACATGTAAATTTGGGACTGTTCTCAAGGGCTCTTTAAAGAAGCAAAATTGTGCCTTGTAGTTGGGGAGGAGGTGTCATGGGTGTTTCCTCTGCTGTTCTAGAAGTTTCTGAGATGGCTCACTCAGCCCCTACATTTTCTCACAGTGGGATGATGAGACAGATATGGCCCAGCTGGAGACTTGTGTACGTTCCATCCAACTGGACGGGCTGGTCTGGGGGGGCTCCAAGCTCGTGCCTGTTGGCTATGGTATCCGGAAGTTGCAGATCCAGTGTGTGGTGGAAGATGACAAAGTAGGCACCGACTTGCTAGAAGAGGAGATCACCAAGTTTGAGGAGCATGTGAGTGGGCATGGGCACTAGTGGTGGGAAGGTCAGGTGGACACGGAGACACCGGTTCCTGCTGCCCCATAGCCATAGGACCAGATCCCTCCCCAACCCCACCATGTATGGAGCATGAGCAGGTGGGCCCTTAGGCAATCTGTATCAACACCCTTTGTCTCCATCCACAGGTGCAGAGTGTTGACATCGCAGCTTTCAACAAGATCTGAAAGTCCAAGAGTGTGGTTCACGTGTGTGAGGACCTGCTGAGATTAAAGACAGACTCTGCACTCTGGCTCTTGTGGTGTTATTGGTGTGCAATACTCTGTCAGGCTCAGTCCATACTTGGCCTAGCCCAGCCCACTTCTTGCCCCTTCAAGCTGTTTTGGTCAGAAACAGAATCCATGGGGCCCACATTTGTCTACCATGTGCCTCTTGTCCCTTACGTTGTGACCATGTGGAGTACACCTAGGCCTGATATGCATGCCTCTTCACTCTCCTTACCTCTGGAGGGGCACTGCAGTTAGCTGGAGTGGGGCACATCTCTTATGTTCTATGATGGTTACAATATGGACAGCTGGCTGTACTGTGGAATTTTGCCCGCCCATTCCACAAGTCCTTTGTGGTCAGTGCTTGCGTATTGGATGAAATAGTGTGGACATCTAGGTGAGGGGTACCAAGTATTTTCTGTCCGTGATGTCATCAACCTTAGCCATTAAGAAGCAGTGTAGTCCCTCCCCCTCAAAAGCTCTCCTGTGGGGCCTGAGATGTAGGATCCAATAGACCATCACCTGAGGAAGGGTGGCCTAGCAGTTAAGAGCACTGGCTGCTCTTCAAGAAAGGGGTGTGTGGGGGGGGTCAATTCCCAGTAACTACATGGACACTCACAACCAGCTGTATTGTAACCTCAAATCCAGGGGATCTGATGCCCTCTTCTGGCCTCTGGGCATTAAGTACAGAAACACTGTAGCACACACCCATTTCCCTCCACAAAGAGGTTCACCACAATGCTCAGCATAAAATTGCACTAGGACCCCTTGCGTTGGAGGTGCACGCCTTTAATCCCAGCACCAGGGAGGCAGAGGCAGGCGGATCTCTGAGTTCGAGACCAGCCTGGTCTACAAAAGCTAGTTCCAGGACAGCCTCCAAAGCCACAGACAAACCCTGTCTCGAAAACAACAACAAAAAAAATTGCCCTAGGACATGCACTCACTAGGAACCTGGGTAGTTGGGTTAAGCAAACATCACCATCGCTGGTATTTGGGATCACCCGGCCCAGGCCTTTAGGGGTTCCTAGCTTTACAAGCAGATGCTCACAGTTGCATAGGTAACCCCAGCTGCCCATCCCTGGTCTGGGGCAAGAGGCCAGGGTAAAGTACAACCTGATCTAGAATTCAAACCCTGCTATGTTTGGAGTTGCTGTTTTGCCTTTGCCACTGCTAGTTTAGGTCCACTATCCTGTAAGAACCAAGGGGGGGTGGGGCGACGGAGAGGGCAAGTAGCTAGCTGGAGTCAAGGAGGCTGGGCTAGGGTATTCTGGTCGGCTACCTTGTTGGTTTGGATCCCTACAGCTCTAGCTGTGTAGTTGGCTCGCCCCGCCCACTGCTGCTGGGAAAGGCCCCGCCTCTGGGTCAGTTAGTTCCCTGGACCAGTGCCCTGGGGAGCGGAGTAGGACGCCATTAGCCAGGCTTTCCACGCGCGTATACCGTGCAGAATTGCGATGGAGCTGGATGGCGAGGGGCGCGCGGTGGTACGGCCACTGCTCACTGACCTCTACCAGGTCACCATGGCGCTGGGCTATTGGCGTGCAGGCCGGGCATGCGAGGCAGCAGAGTTCGAGCTCTTCTTCCGCCGCTGTCCGTTTGGAGGCTCCTTTGCCCTGGCCGCCGGACTGCGGGATTGTATATGCTTCCTGCGATCCTTCCGTCTGCAGGACGCAGGTAGCTCGGCACCCCACACTGGTAGTCCTCTAGCTGGGAAGGAATCTCTCTCCCATACCTCTAGATGTGCCCATGACCTCTGAGGGGACCTGCCCTTGCCTGGCCAAGTCCTTCCCCCAGACCACATGTATTCTCTATCGCCCCAGACGTGCAGTTCCTGGCTTCAGTGCTACCCCCAGACACTGACCCTGAATTCTTCGAGCACCTTCGGGCCCTTGACTGCTCTGGGGTGACGGTGCGGGCCCTGCCAGAGGGTTCCCTCGCCTTCCCTGGCGTGAGTGTCCTGCAAGCTGGGTGGGTAGAGAAAAGGTGGGGTGGCCCCGGAGGTTTGGCTGTGGAGCTAATCACTCGCCCTGCAGGTGCCATTGCTGCAGGTGTCCGGGCCTCTCCTCCTGGTACAGCTGCTGGAGACTCCTCTGCTGTGTCTGGTCAGTTATGCTAGGTGAGCAGAGTTCCTGAGCTCTGGGGCTAAGTCGGCCCACTGAGGTGACTTTGCAACCCTCACCTGGGCTCTCTTGGCATGTCACTCTCCACAGCCTCGTAGCCACCAATGCTGCTCGGCTTCGCCTGATTGCAGGACCGGATAAGAGACTACTAGAGATGGGCTTGCGGCGAGCTCAGGGTCCAGATGGGGGCTTCACAGCCTCTATTTACAGCTACCTGGGCGGTGAGGCCTGGAAAAGGCATAGGTTGGGTGAGGGAAGGTACCATTTTACCCCGAGTCCCCTAAGCCTGCCTGCCTTTTCACCCAGGGTTCAACAGCAGCAGCAACACACTTTCTCGACAACTGAGAGGCGTGCCAGTGGCAGGGACGCTGGCCCACTCCTTTGTCACTTCCTTTTCCGGTAGTGAGGTGCCCCCTGACCCGGTTAGTACTGTTTTATTTGGTGTCAGGGTCCCATGTAGCCCAGATTGGTCCTGAAATCCTGATCCTCTCACCTCTGTCTCTGTTCACTTCCCTGCTGGGCCTAGTCAGCCCGTACTTTTCACAAGCCAGCTTTTCTCTAGAGGACAAGATCTCAAAACCAATTCTTACCCTGGCAGGGGTGGGTTGGACCCTGCTGTATACTCTGGCAGATACTGTCCTGGACACTTGGTCCAAGGCTGCACTAGGAAGCTGGCATTACATGGCATCACCTTTACCCTCAGGCCATGGTATACTGGCCACTCACAGTACAGTTTAGCACTGTACTCTAGAACCATCTTTTATTTTTTTTTTTTATTTTTTTTTTTTTTTGGTTTTTTGAGACAGGGTTTCTCTGTGGCTCAGGTTTCTTCTTGGAGGCTGTCCTGGAATTAGCTCTTGTAGACCAGGCTGGTCTCGAACTCACAGAGATCCGCCTGCCTCTGCCTCCTGAGTGCTGGGATTAAAGGCATGTGCCACCACAGCCCAGCTTAGAACCATCTTTTAACTAATCTCTTTCTACAGATGTTGGCTCCAGCTTCTAGTGAGGGCCCCAGAGTGGACTTGATGGCCAGTGTAAATTTGTGGCTGAAGCGTGTGTGCATCCACCTGGGGCTGAAGGTGCAAGAGCCACATCCAGGGGAACGGGCAGCATTTGTAGCCTATGCTCTGGCCTTTCCCCGGGCTTTCCAGGGCCTGCTAGATTCCTACAGTGTACGAAGGTGAGCTGTTAGCATTATATCAGGGCAGCCTCAGTAGAGCAACTGAGCTCCTGATCCCCCTTTTTTTTATATATATATGCAGGAGTGGTCTTCCCAACTTTCTGGCAGTAGCCCTGGCATTGGGGGAGCTGGGCTACAGGGCAGTGGGCGTGAGGCTGGACAGCGGTGATCTGCTTCAACAGGCTCAGGAGATCCGAGGGATCTTTCGAACTGTTGGTGCCCAGTGAGTTACCCATGAGGTGTGGTATGCCTGCTAGAAACTCCTTGTGGAAGTCCCAGGGAGATGGGACAAGGAGGGATTGTCTTTCTTATAGGGAGACTATGGGCCTATTTCAGGGGCAACTGAAAAAGCCCTAGAAAGGGCTCCTAAGAAAAGGGTGGGTGTAGGCATGGCTGATGGGGAGGGAGGAAGCAAGGAAAGAGGCCAGGGCGAATCAGGAGCATCTGAGGGAGTGCTGCCTGTGAACCCATTACACGCAGGTTCCAGGTGCCCTGGCTAGAATCTGTTCCCATTGCAGTCAGCAACAACATTGATGAGAAGGAGCTAGCACGACTGGCCCAAAAGGTAGAGTGTAAGAGGGATAGGTGGGTGGTAGTCTAGAGGACCCTGGTACTCTACAGGTGGCAGCTTGGCTCAGTGTCACTGCCTCTCCACACAGGGCAGTGAGGTGAACATCATTGGCATTGGCACCAGTGTGGTCACCTGTCCCAAACAGCCTTCTATGGGCTGTGTCTACAAGGTAAAGAGAATGTTTGGTCTCAGGTGGGGCAAGTCTGGAAGAGCATGGGTGGCAGGGGGACAGGGACCCATCTATCTGAACACCCTGTCATTGCAGCTGGTGTCCGTGGGAGGCCAACCTCGAATGAAACTGACAGAGGACCCTGAGAAGCAAACCCTGCCAGGCAGCAAGGCTGCCTTCCGGTTTCTAGGCTCTGATGGTGATTTCCCTCTGCCAGAATTTCCCTTGGCAGTTTTCAAGTCTCCAGCCCCTATTTGACATTATTCTTGCCTTTGCTCAGGGTCTTTCCTACTGGACTTACTGCAGTTGGCAGAAGAGCCCCCACCCAAGGCTGGGCAGGAACTCAGGGTTTGGCCCCAAGGAGCTCAGGAGCCCTGCACTGTGAAGCCAGCCCAGGTGGAGCTATTGCTGAGACTCTGCCTGCAACAGGGCCAGGTGACTTCCCTTCTTCTGTACCTTCATTTGAGCTGAGCTCTGATCCCCAGCCAGCATCTCTACCTTCCCTCTCCCCTCCCCTGCAGCTGTGTGAGCCACTTCCATCTCTGGAGGAGTCCAGAACCTTTGCCCAGCAGTCTCTGAGCCGCCTCAACCCTGCTCATAAGCAGCTGCAGAGCCCTACAGTGTATCCGGTAGGCCTACAGGTGGTCTGCCCTGTATGTCCTGTGTGCCCCCTGCCCCCACTCCCCAGCTCCAGGTGCCCATATCCCTCTTCTCTCTACAGGTTGCGCTGTCAGAGAAGCTTCGGGCACTGGTAGACAATCTGAGTGCTGGAGGTCCCTTGTAAAACTCACAGGGGTGGTGAACTGCCAGAAATAACATGACTCACTGTCCCCACAACTTGTCGTGTGTCATTAGTTCACAAATTGCTGCTACTCACTTGACTTCTAGGAGACTTCCAGAGCTGGGCTGGAATTGAGTTCAGGCGGCTCTGAGACTGCTGGACAAAGGTTCTGGACTCCTCCAGAGATGGAAGTGGCTCACACAGCTGCAGGGGAGGGGAAAGGGAAGGTAGAGATGCTGGCTGGGGGATCAGAGCTCAGCTGAGCTGGGACTCAGAAATATGAGTTGTCACAGGCCCAGCATGGGGGAAGGCAGCCATAGGGCTAGACTGTGGGGACCAGGTCTGGGTGAAACAGCATGGCCATAAGACACGGAGGACTTACCATTCACCTCTGTTTTTGAGGATGTTATTGTGAAGGCCCTCGCCTACTAGAAGCAGATAGGGGGTTCCTAAGGTTGAGACGAGTGTCAAAGTCTAATAGCCTCAGGCTCCCATATCTAATAAGGGCAATGTCCCCCATCAGCTGAGATATCTCAAGCTTCCCACGCCAGCCCTGCATGATCCATTATAGGCCAATCAGGAGTCTCAGTGTCTGACCCAATCATCAAGGAAGGAGGAGAAGATTGAAAAAGCTGAGGCTCCAAGGAGCTGGCTGTGAGAGCTGGAAGTACCTGGGCACAGCAAGCTAGGCAAGGTTCAGAGGAGCTGCCCAGGAGGGAGTGTCTTAGTCACTGCTCTATTGCTGTGAGGAGACACCATGACCACAGCAACTCTTACAAAAGAAAGCATTTAACTGGGGGCTTGCTTACAGTTTCAGAGGCTAATCAATTACCATCATGGTAGGGAGTTAGGTGACATACAGGCAGACATGGTGCTGGAGAAGTAGCTGAGAAGTCTATATACAGAAGGAGATACGGGGCTTGGCATGGGTTTTTGAAACCTCAAAGCTCACCCCCAAGGACACACTTGCTTCAACAAGGCCACGCCTCCTAATCCTAATCCTTTCAAATAGTGCCACTCCCTGGTGACTAAGCATTCAAACCTATGAGCCTATGGGGGCCATTCTTACTCAAGCCGCCACAGGAGGTCCATGGCTTGGCAGGAGGCGGAGTTGGGCTTGTACAGCCTGAGGTACATGGGCTGAAGAGGGTGAATGCCCACTACTTGGAGCACTTGCACCTGTACTTCCGCCATCTGCTAAGCAGACTGTCAGACCAGTTCATCCAGCTCCCCTGGCTTAGTTCTGGGGAGTGCCTTAGTGAGGTTGGGTGGGGAGTGGGGATTTAGGGCAGAGGCTGGGTCAGCTCTGAGGAGCATGAACCTGGAAAGGGATGCAACTGGGCACACGGTTTACATACACACTGCCTAGGCAGCCGAGGGTGGAGGACATATAAGGCATGAGACATACCACTCAGAACTGGCAAGGGTACACAATGACCCAATCAACAGACAGTGGGCACTTGTAAACGTACTTAGGAGGTTCACCTGCCCTCACCTCATTTGCTCCACACCCCGAGTATCTCAAATTCAGAGATGTTGACAGCATCTGACTACACCCATTCCTAGGATGTCTAGCAGGGTCAGGGGCTAATCCAGGCCCCTGACGCTGCTAGAGCCTCCTCACGATGATCTAAAACTTCCCTGGTCCCCTCCCCCAGATAAAAGGGACAGGCAGTTGGGTTAGAGACCTTCCCTTCTCTGTAGTCCACTGTCTCCATGGGCACTGGTGGCCAGAGCCAGTCTTGACATTCCACTTGACTCCAACAGCCTGGGCAGCAACCCTTCACAAGCCCATGTTAAAATACCTCTGTGACTCCCCAGCCAACCACTGGCACATGCTCAGACACGTATGCACTTATATGCCCACGCCACCACGCCTGTCTGTAGGCTCGCCTGTGGGCCCGCCCAGGGCCTGATTCTAGGTCAGGTCTGAGCACAGCTTCACTGGAAGAGTGGTGACAGGTGCCGCTGGTAGGGACACCATGGCTGGGGGTGTGTGGGGTCGGGGCAGGGATGGCCCTGTGGGGTCCCTAACTCTGACAGCTCTAGCTGAAGGAATCCGGGCTAACCAGGGGCAGCCTGTGGGACCCTCTTCTACAGGCCCTCAGGCTGACCCCCTGGAGGTTAGACCTGAGGCTGAGACCTACACTCACACACTTACCCCGGCCTTTGAGGCCCAGCCTGGGAACGAGGTGATTGCCCCCACAGCCGGCAGTGAGAACTGTTCCCCACAGGATGCCCAGGAACCAGCCCCTGAGAGACCCTACCAGGTGAGTACTGAGGATGGATGGTGCAAGGTTTGGCTCTTGTTCACTTGGACACTGGAAAGACAAGAGGTACTGGAGGGAGCTGGGCAAAGTGCTGAGGGTAAAAGAAGATGGAAAAGATCATAGGTGAAGAGGGCATGTGGCCATTTGAGGGATGATGAGGCCGGGAGACTAAGGAAGATAGCTGAGATAGGCTTGGGAACTTCATAAACTCCATGTTCCACTCTCCCTTCCCTAGGCCTCCCAGTATTCCTGGGAGGAAGGAGCCCTTGCAGACCTTGCATTGTGTACAGCTGCCTGTCTGGAGGAGGCTGGCTATGCTGGGACCCAGGCAACAGCGCTCACTCTGTCCTCAGCCCTGGAAGCCCAGGGACAACGGCTG